CACACACACACACACACACACACACACACACACACACACGCACACGCACGCACACACGCACACACGCACACACGCACACGCACACGCACACACGCACACGCACACGCACACACACACACACGTGCGCGCGCACTAAGGCACGAACGCACTAAGTCCGACGGAACAGTCTGGCACAGTCATGCTTCTTCTTGTCGAATTGTGTATAGCGAACATCGCAAGACACACGCAAGAACCGCTCGGGAAGTTAAATGACAAGCAGGGTCCATCACGAGGGAATGAGCCGCGGGCTTTGACGCCAGATCCTGTTAGCAGAAAGCAAATAGAAAGACCAACCTGTCCCTGATTCGATACGCTTGACGTCAACACCTAATAGGAAGCCCACTATGGCATTCATGCAGCAGCAGGAGCAGCACATCCACACTCATGGCATCTCGAAGCCGAGAACGAGAGAGCCATCAACAGTCATCTTCAATTTTGAATCAGGCAGATTGTGATCGTGTTCTGTGATGGGTGGACTGCCGCCTCCTTGCAGGGCGCACCTCAGCCGTCATCGCGAACGCCAGCGCAGCTTCCGTAAGATGTCCGACGAGATAATTCCGCCGGTCCGCGACCGCCCCCGGCTCCCMCCCCCMCCCCGCGCCTACCCCACCGCGCTTCCCTCACTTCGTCCCGCCGATTCCAGGTTCTCCAGTTCCACCCTGAACCACACCTTTGCTTCCTGTAAAAAATATATATAATTATAATTAATAAAATTCAAAAACAGGGAAGAAAAACCAACATACATTCATCCGTTCAATCAATAAGAGCTTCCCTCCGGTTATCATCGCCCGACCATCCACGTCACACATGTCCACTGAAGCTCACCGAAACCAAATATTTCTGTTTTGTGGAAACCGCCGTAGCTGTTCGATATAAAACTAGAGTTTATTATGAATATAAGCGTTCATGGTTGGTAAAATATATGTATATATGTATATATATATATAGATATATACTGTTTGTGACGATATATATATAGAGAGAGAGAGCTAACCCACAGGGGTATAAGGCTAGAGCTAACCCACAGGGGTATAAGGCTACCGAGCTAACCCACAGGGGCCAACTCCCACTTACCCGGATTTTCATTCCCGCCGTAGATCATGAAAATCGACGGCCAGGTGCGAAAGAAGCCAGTGGGACTTGGCCTAAGAGCTCCTTTTCCCCGTTCCCCCGGCCTCGCGCGTTTCCTCTATCGAAACTCGTTCCCTCGAACTCGAACACAACGCACCTTCAGTATGGCCGTATCGGCCCGGAGCGCGTATACATTCACGATTTCACGATTAGAGTGGGTTGCGTTCGGGGGCAAGGTCCCATTTACACGAATTAAGCGATATTGACCGTAGATAGCGAATATCAACGGCCAGAATCTCTTAATCCGTGCAAGTGGGACCTTGACCCGCGGCGAGGCTGGTAGACAACGCGTCACCTTTTCACCCCATCTCCCGCCTCCAGGGTCCCTTGCTGTGTCCATTCCGCGCCCCCAGGGTCCCTTGCAAGTGTCCGTCTGACCCCTCTGCTCTGCCAGCTTATGCCGTCCACGTACACAGGGTGAAAGCCCTCCACGTGTCCGTTCCGGCGACGCCTTGTCGCCGTCCGAAGTGCTGGCGCACTTCCGCATAACAGAATAACAGAAATAGAAACGACGATATATAATGAGGCGAGGCCAAGCGGACATTTCCAGAGAACTGCACTGGACAAAAGGGACACCGCAAACTACTCGCCAATGTGAAATCGACAAAAGCGATGGCGGGCGTATAGTTGCACGTTCTGATGGAAGATACGTGCTCCATTTTGCATATTTGGTGAGTAATAAGGGCGGCGAGGTCCAAACGGGCGTGTCAAGCGGACACTTCCCGAGAACTGCACCGGAATGCGGGACAAAGCGGCCCGCGCCGCACCACTGTGAAAAAGGGCCTGGACGCACCACTGTGAAAAAGGCAAAAAATAGGTATTGATTGGCTGTGGATCCTCTGTTTTCTTTCTAGCTCTTACTTGTGCTTCAGGACTACTCTTGGAAAGCTGGTGGATGCGTAAAGGGGACGCGGGACCCGGTTTCTACCGTACTACCAAGCCGAAGCTGGGTAGTGGACCCAGTTCATCCGCTTACCGTAGAGCCAGTCGCGGCCGTATAGGAGCCGCGAGTGGCTGGGCCGATCGGGCCAACCCACTCCAGTCATTAATCATACACTGACTCAGGGCATCGTTAGACACTCCTCGGGGACGTGAAATCCACAAGGAAGCGCTCGTTCCACCTATCCTTGGGGACGAAATTGAAAAAGAAATGTGAAAACGCCACAAGGAAAATTCCTTGTGGCGTCCTTGTGGCCCCAGCCAAAGTTTCTGCTCAAGGAGCCGCGATTCACGAAGTGGCGAAGACATGCGTCGACGAAGAGCTTCGGTTCTGTGGGTGCCCAGATGTGGTCCGATGGCATTAGTACGGACATCCTCGCCCTCCAACGTCTACGTAGTCCCCCAACAGCCCCCAACGGTTATCGTTGGCGATGGGCCTCCATCAGGTGGCATCGTCGTTTTTTACCGGCGTCATGCGATTTTTTATGCTCGAGGAACGTCCGCAACAGTCGTGACCAACCTGTACCGCAGATTCCCTCTGCTGCTCTTCGTTCCTGTCCTGCTTTTGGTGGTCCCCATGCTGCTGCTCTCCATACGTGGCATTGCTGCCCTGTCCACACTCGCGGTTAACGACCACTTCAAATTTCAGAATGAAAGATTTTAAAGTGGTCTGAAACCGTTGAAATGGTCTGAAGACACTTCAGGTCATTTCAGAAGTTTCGGGTGGTTTTGAGGATAAGTTTTATGTTGTTGTTGTTATTTTTCTGCCTGTTTTTTCAGCCACTTCAGGTCATTTCAAGAATTTCAGGTGGGGACCTGAAACCGCTGAAGTGGTTGAAGCTTTTGAAAGGGTTTTCAGGTACCCCCATCCAAATGGTTGGATGGGGGTACCTGAAGCCCTCTCAGAAGCTTCGGCCATTTCAGGTCATTTCAGGAATTTTATTTGGATGGGGGTACATGAAACCCCTTTCATAAGCTTCGGCCTCTTCAGGTCATTTCAGGAATTTCATGTGGGGAACTGAAACTGTTGAAGTGGCTGAAGCTTCTGAAAGGGGTTTCAGGTACCCCCATCCAACCATTTGTATGGGGCTACCTGACACCCCTTTCAGAAGCTTCGGCCACTTCAGGTCATTTCAGGAATTTCGGATGGGGACCTGAAACTGTTGAAGTGGCTGAAGCTTCTGAAAGGGGTTTCAGATACCCCTCATCCAACGATTTGGATGGGGGTACCTAAAACCCCTTTCAGAAGCTTCAGCCACTTCAAGTTATTCAGGAGTTTCAGGTGGGGACCTGAAGCGGCTGAAAGTGATCTGTAAATACTGTCCGTTGTTAACCATCTTTTTCTGTCCACCGTGTCGTTCATGGCCGACCTCTGCTGCAGACTTCCTCTGCTGCTCCTTGTCGCTATGTTGCTTCTCTCATTGCCGAAGATCTTCCCACGCGTCCCCCATCCTGCGTTTCATCCACCACCTCTGCGTCGCTCACAGAATGTCGCCGCAACCCAACGCGTAACACAGCTGACTCGCAGCCTCCGAAGTCGCTACGTATTCGAGGTCGTCATGTGCAGCTTGCATTAGCATCCTTCTTTTTCGCGCGCACAGCTGCACCTTTATTCCTCCCAACGCCCTCTCCTGCCGACCAACGGAGTCAACAGTACACGTCCGACCTCTCCACCGCCCTCCATCACCAACACTTCCATAAGAATGACGTGTCTCCGCTGCTGTAAGAATGGTCGCCCTCACGACACTTCCACAAAGCTGTTCCTTTTGGGTCGGCATCGCTCTCCTCAGAAAACATTGTTGAACGACCCCTGCAAAGTGGCATGCGTTGATGGCGATGGGCGCTACCACTGTGCGCACGTGCATACAACGCTGCGTTTATCGGGGAGAGACGCTCCCGCAAAACCCGATTCGTCCATGTCGCGTCATCGCGCCACCTGCCGATGATCGTACTTATCACCATAACCGCACTTCAAATTTTGAATTTCGAACATGGAGGTGCCCTATTTTTTATTCTGTTTTTCGTTGCCTGGCCTTGCCTTTTCCCTCTGGGCGCCGTTGTACCATGCCGTCTCCACGCGGACACAGGACACTGGACCACAGACACTCCCCCCCGCTTCCGCATATAATCGTATGAAAATTGTCGCAGGTAGGCCACAAGGAACCGTCCTTGGTGGTCGTCCCCAAGGATATGTGGAACGAGGCAGCAAAGTTTCCTTAAGAGCTACAAGGAAACTTCCTTGTAGCTCGAGGAAATTGTAAGGAGTGTCTAACGACGCCCTCAATCAAAAAGCCTAGCTCAATTGGTAAGGCGTGCAAGTGAAATTCATGAGGTTCTGGGTTCAATTCCGAATTATGTAATGTACCTTTCTAGGCATGCTTGGTACATGCCATGCCACCGAGACTGGCCCATCGAAGAAGCTCAGTCATGATGCTACCGGCTCACCCCTAGCCGGTATCACCCACCTGTTGAAGCATGTATTGCACTTGTTGGTAGATGCAACTCCTGCATGTTCCCTCGTTGAATAGGATGTGGCTGCTACGGGGTTCCCCATAACATGTAATGAGAACAAGTGGACCCCTCCGCAGCTCCACACGTGGCCCTTGGAGGTAACAATAAAAGACAAAGCACACACATTGACACACATTTCGAGAAAGATCGAGGCAGAATAGCAAGGACTCTCTCTCTCTCTCTCTCTCTCTCTCTCTCTCTCTCTCTCTCTCTCTCTCTCTCTCTCTCTCTCTCTCTCTCTC